CAGGGGTGGAGTAGCGTGCGATAACGGCGTCGTACAAGGTCTTAGCACTCTTGTACGACCCAAAGTGCGCACGCTCAGCGGGAGGGAGGTGGCGACGCACAGCAAGACGTGCAGCAGCATCGCGTGTGGCCCACTGTGAGCGAACAGTCGCATCCTCAGTAGCAGCAGGGGCGGGAGAGGCACCAGAAGTGAGATCAAAGAGAGAGAGTCCGTCAGCTCTGTCGCACTGTAGGAAAAGCAGTAGGTCGTCTACCCACACGTCAAAGTCAATGGCTCTGCCCTCAGCGTCAAAGGCGAGGACACTGGGGGTAGCCATGACAGCAGTAGAGAGAGGGCAGCGCGCAGAGTAAAGCTCAGTGCTCACCAAACAGGGCAGTGCAGGGAGGGCTCGGGCGGCTCGGGCGGCTCGGGCGGCTCGACTGCTGGGCGGCTCGGGCGGCTCGGGCGGCACTGCAGCTGGGGCAGCTCGGCTGCTGGGGCGGCTCGGCTGCTGGGGCGGCTCGGCTGTTGGGGCGGCTCGGCGGCTGGGGCGGCTCGGCTGCTGGGGCGGCTCGGCCGGGAGATGTAGGGGCGGGGCCGTCAGGTGCAGCGGCGGGCCGGCAGGTGCAGCGGCGGGTCGACCAGGTGAGGCGGCGGGCCGTAGGGTGCAGCGGCGGGCCGGCAGGTGCAGCGGCGGGGCCGTCAGGTGAAGCGGCGGGCCGCTGGGTGCAGTGGCGGGCCGTAGGGTGCAGCGGCGGGCCGGCAGGTGCAGCGGCTGGGCCGTCGGGTGAAGCGGCGGGCCGCTGGGTGCAGCGGCGGGCCGTAGGGTGCAGCGGCGGGCCGGCAGGTGCAGCGGCGGGCCGTAGGGTGCAGCAGCGGGCCGGCAGGTGCAGCGGCGGGCCGGCAGGTGCAGCGGCGGGGCCGTCAGGTGAGGCGGCGGGCCGTAGGGTGCAGCGGCGGGCCGTAGGGTGCAGCGGCGGGCCGGCAGGGGCAGCGGCGGGGCCGTCAGGTGCAGCGGCGGGCCGGCAGGGCCGCGTCAGAGCCGGCGGCGGGGCCGCGTTAGTGGAGGCGGCGGGGCCGCGTCAAGCAGGCGGCGGGGCCGCGACGAAGCGGGCGGCAGGGCCGCGTCAGAGCCGGCGGCGGGGCCGCGTCAGTGGAGGCGGCGGGGCCGCGTCAAGCAGGCGGCGGGGCCGCGATCAGGAGGGGTGGCGGGGCCGCGTCTGAGGGACAGCGGGGCCGCGAGGGAAATGGCGACCCGAGGGGTCGCTAAAAAAAAAGGCGCGCCTCGGGGCGCGCTTCGGTGGGCCCTAAAAAAAACGGTCCTTAGGAAGGACCCGCTCTATACCATGTGAAACAAGTGAACAGGAATGAAATGACTAAGGAAAGATTGGGTACAAATACAACCCTAGAAACCCTGTACCCCATATGTGCTACCCTGCTATAGCCTACAGCAACTATGTCATATAAATCTGACATCGGACCCATCAACCTCACTACCCCCTTTCGCACTCCTCCTCCTAACCACGAGCCGGACACCACGCCTCTCTCCCTTGAAAAACACCGGCTCTATCAGCAGCAGTTGGGGTGCCTCCTGTTCGCAGCCGTCACGTGCCGGCCCGATCTCTCCTACGTCGCAAGCCAGCTTGCTCGGTACATGAAGCGACCTGAAGGGGAGAATCTACTGGATCTACGCCGAGCACTTCAATACTTCGTCTCTACTCCCGACGTCGGCCTCACCTACGAAGCTAACTTAACGGCTACCCTGGAGCTGCATGGCTACGTAGACGCAGACCACGCGGGAGACATTGGCAACAGACGCTCCCGCACAGGATTCATTTTTCAACTCCAACCTGATGGACTCATCTCATGGAACTCTCAGAAGCAGGAAGTCATTGCCCTTTGGTCAGCCGAAGCAGAGTTCATCGCCGCCAGTGCAGATGTTCGTGAAGAGCTGTACCTAATGGAGACAATCGAAGGTCAACAGTCAACGGTCGTGACCCTTGACTGCCCAGTAACCGCACTTGGTAGTTACGCGGTGCAACATGGTAACCGTCAAGAATAGCAATAGTCGTTGATGTTATAACTGGAGGATCGCAGTGGATAGGATACAGCTCCTGAGTATATGAGAGAGTTGTGAAGTCTCTGTAATGACCTTGTTGATAAAGTTTGAGAGAAGAAGATGATTATAAGATAAGAGTACAAGAACATAAATAGCAATCCTAGCTAGCCATGTACTCTGAGAGTTACATTCCCTTATTAACCGAATTACAGTGCTACAGTAACCAAGTCTATTCCCATTCTAGATAGTTGCCACGTTGCATCTCGTAACTGCCTCGTGCGGTTACTGGTCAGTCAAGGGTCACAACCGTTGACTTATCTTCAACTGTTGACCTTAGGGTGACCCTTTACCTTCCGTGTGCTCTATATGAGCTGTTGCGGTACTGATACACGCGCTTGCTGTCAGAATGTAATTGTATACATTACTTTATAACTGCCTGCAATGTAGACTTAGTGTAGTTATCTTTCTTGTTAGGTGGTGCACCTTTCTTCTCTTCTTTCATATTTGTACCCTTGAGCCTATAGTGAAACCATCCTTTTCTCCTTCAAACTCTCTCGACATTCCCCTTCAACCCTAAACTTCAACTACTAAGCCACTAAAGCTATGGCTCCTAAGCCTAGCTGTACTTAGTATCTTAACATGCTATCAGAGCATTTATACTCCTGGCCAGTGGGCCCATGCTTCCGCTGCCTGTCATCCTGCCGCGCGCCTCGGGCGCGCGCGGCGATTTTCTGCCCGCCGTGCGCCCCGGGCGTGCGGCGTCTTCCTGTCCGCGCGCGGGCCTGTTCTGCCCGCCCGTACCCTGCCCTTCGCGGCGTCCCGCAGAGGCGCCGCTCCTGCTCGTCGCGACGCCCCTGCGGGACCCGTGCATCGCCGCTCCTGCTCGTCGCGACGCCCCTGCGGGACCCGCGGGGCGCTGTCCCTGCTCGTCGTGGCGCACCTCCCCCTGGCCGCCGCCTCTGCCTCCCCTGCGCCCGCGCCTGCTTTGCAGCAACGCGCGGGCCTGCCCTGCACCAGCGACGCCGCCCCTGGAGCAGCCGCCCCTGGAGCAGCTGCCCCTGCAGCAGCTGCCCCTGGCCACTGTAGCAGCCGCCCCTGGCCCCTGGAGCAGCCGCACCTGCGGCCGCCCCTGGCCCCTGGAGCAGCCGCCCTTGGCCACTGGAGCAGCCGCCCCTGGCCCCTGGAGCAGCCGCCCTTGGAGCAGCCGCCCCTGCAGCAGCCGCCCCTGGCCCCTGGAGCAGCCGCCCCTGCAGCAGCCGCCCCTGGCCCCTGGAGCAGCCGCTCCTGCAGCAGCCAACCCTGCAGCTGCCCGCGCCGCCGCTCCTGGACCCTGTGCAGCCATGGGGGGAGGGTATGGGGGTCGCGGGTGTGGGGGTGATGAGTGTGGGTGCCACCCTTCCCCTCCTCCTCCTCCTACTTCGTCTCCCACTGCTGCAGCTGCCGCTGAAGGGGGGTGGATGTGTGGGAGCCGAGGGGGAGTGAAACTAGGGGTGCGGCAAGGGGTGCGGCAAGGGGTGTGAAAGGGGTGTGGGACAGGTAGGGGAGGTTGAGTGGAGGTGGCCGCCGTGAAGTCAGCAGCTCCAGTCGCCCGTGAGACCGTTGCGCCAGTCGCCCGTGAGCCCGTCGCTCCAGTCGCCCGTGAGCCCGTTGCTCCAGTCGCCCGTGAGTCAGTTACTCCTGCCGCTCGTCTAGCCGCGGAGTCAGTTGCTCCAGTTGCCCGTGTGCCAGTTGCTCCAGTTGCCAGTGTGCCAGTTGCTCCAGTTGCCCGTGTGCCAGTTGCTCCAGTTGCGCCGTGTGCCAGCAGCTTCAGCTGCCGCCCACCACCTCCTCTCCTCTCATAGTCCCTCCTCCTCCTCACTTGCCCTCTCCGTCTGCTGCGCTCTGCTTGGTGTACCCCTTCCGGGGGTGTTTCTGCACATGGTTCTTCACTGCAGGCAGTTAGGGGGTGTGTAAGAATGTAATTGTATACATTACTTTATAACTGCCTGCAATGTAGACGTAGTGTAGTTATCTTTCTTGTTAGGTGGTGCACCTTTCTTCTCTTCTTTCATATTTGTACCCTTGAGCCTATAGTGAAACCATCCTTTTCTCCTTGCAACTCTCTCGACATTCCCCTTCAACCCTAAACTTCAACTACTAAGCCACTAAAGCTATGGCTCCTAAGCCTAGCTGTACTTAGTATCTTAACACTTGCTTCGTTATGAAGTGACACGAGAGTGGAGAACCTTCGAGAATGCTTATGATAACCTTTCGGTTATTCCAAAACTCCCCTTCATTCCTGAAGGTGAGCCACGTGGGACTTGTTGGTGATCCCGCAGAGGTTGGCGAAGTGCTTAAACTGTTGACGTGGCAGATTTTTTGTCAAAAAGTCAACCGCCATGTCACCAATTGGGCAGTATGTGACCTTGACCTTGCCTTTGCCAATTTCGTCCTTGACGAAAAAGTAGCGAAGGGCGATGTGTTTTGTGCGGTTCACGAAGCCGGGCTTGTTCGCGCTCTGGTTGTCGCAGAGTAACGTGAAGTGCCCGTTCATCGTTACTTTCGCTTCCTGTAGGAGCTCCATTAGGTACAGCTCTTCGCGAACATTTGCACTGGCGGCGATGAACTCTGCTTCGGCTGACGAAAGGGCAATGATTATATGCTTCTGAGAGTTCCATGAGATAAGTCCAGCAGGTTGGAGTTGAAAAATGAATCCTGTGCGGGAGCGTCTGTTTTCAATGTCTCCCGAGTGGTCTGCGTCTACGTAGCCATGCAGCTCCAGGGTAGCCGTTAAGTTAGCTTCGTAGGTGAGGCCGACGTCGGGAGTAGAGACGAAGTATTGAAGTGCTCGGCGTAGATCCAGTAGATTCTCCCCTTCAGGTCGCTTCATGTACTGAGCGAGCTGGCTTGCGACGTAGGAGAGATCTGGCCGGCACGTGACGGCGGCGAACACGAGACACCCCAGCTGCTGTTGATAGAGCCTATGATTTTTGAGAGAGAGAGAGAGAGAGAGAGAGAGAGAGAGAGAGAGAGAGAGAGAGAGAGAGAGAAAGAGAGAGAGAGAGAGAGAGAGAGAGAGAGAATGAGAGAGGGAGAGAGAGAGAGAGGCGTGGTGTCCGGTTCGTGGTTAAGAGGAGTGCGAAAGGGCGTAGTGAGGTTGATAGGTGCGATGGCGAATTTCTTCGCGAGTGTTTCGTCGTATTTGGCGGCGGAGAGGCGGATGGAGGTTGCGGACTGGGTGATGTTGAGACCCAGGAACTGTGCAACGTTGTGATTGATTGTAACCTCCAGCTAATCTTTGATGTCCGCGTCGAACTGGTCCAGTAGTGCCGCGTCGTCGACGGTGTAAAGTAGGTCATCGACGTAGATGACGAGGAGGATAAATTTGCCGCGCGACTCCTTCCAGTACATTCCGAGGTCGTGTGGCAGCTATTTGAATCCGAGCTCCGTCAGCACGGTGTGCAGATACTTCTGCCACAGGCGAGGCTCTTGCTTGATCCCATAGAGGAATTTCTAAAGCAGGCAGACGGCGCCATCGTTTTCCTTGAAGGCATGCGGCTGCTCGACGAAGATGATGGCATCGACCGGAGTGTACAAGAATGCACTGCCGACGTCGATCTGACGGAGTGGGGCTGTTTGACGGTTGCGATGCAGATGAGGATGCGCACTGAAGTGTGCCGCCTGACAGGTGCGTAGGTGAGGTCGAAGTCCACCATGTGAGTTTGCTCGAAGCCGCGCACTACCCATCTCGCTTGGTACTTGTCGATGGAACCATCCGCAAGTGTTTTGATACGGAAGACCCATTTCCCGCTGAGAGTTTTCCTCCCCTTCACTGATGGAACCAGCTTCCATGTTCTGTGGATCTTGAGCGCCGCGACCTCTTTAGCCATGGCTGCCTTCCATTTCTCACTGTCGGGGCTAGAGAGAGCTTGGCGAACGGTGGTGGGCTCCTTGGGGGAATTGTGGCGAACTGCGACTGCGAGCCCAAGGGTGTAGAGACCAATTTCGTTGGTCTTTTCGTAGTGCAGGCGATCGTAGTAGTGGAAGCTGGTTACTTCGACTACGTCATTGTCGCTGTCGTTACCGAGGCGGAGGGAGTCTTGCGAGGTGTTTGGTGGTGGTAACTAGGCATCCGGGGACTGGCGCGCGTCGCTGTTGAAGTTGTGAGCCTCGCGAGGTTGTATCGTCGGGATCGAAGTGGTGTACAGGTATGAAGGTTGGAGTGTGGAGTGAGCTTGTAAGGGGGATGTTGGGTGCGCTGTCAAACTGGGTAACATTTGCTACATCCACACCTTTTGCCAGGTCAGCTTCATCGTGTGAAGTCGCGAAGCTACGGTGTCCCTCGAAATCCCTTTCTGGTGCCCTGTCACCTTCGCAGTGTTTGTTGAACAATGGCAGGATCAGCTTCTCGTAGAAGATGCAGGCACGTGATTTCGTCACTTCGTGTGTCGCATTGTCCAGCACGATCTACGCCTTGTATTTGTGAGGATCTAAGATTGAGCTCAGAAAAGAGAGTTTGAATTGAATTCTCACCTGGGTACAACACGACGCTATATATAGGCTCAATACAAGGCCCAGTAACCAGGTGTTACACGAAGGTTCCGCGGGTCGCGAAGCGTCTCGAACATATCCTTCCCGAATTCGGTAGAAGGCAATTCGGTGGCAACCGAAAAGCCCAGAATTCGGTGCACGCAACCTAGCTCGGTGCTTTAACTATAATAAAATATAGGAAAGCACCTAGCCTAGGAAATCAAGCAATTCATGCAAGCATATAATTATCCTATGCTAGAAATAGCATAATAAAGGAAAGGCAAGCAAGCATAGCTGGCATAAGCCGTCGTACTCTCACAGTATTCCTTTTCAATTCTGAGGTGGATGCCCCAGCGAGCCAGGTCAGCGAACTTTTCGGAACGTGTCGTGTGTGGCCTTTACTGTAGCATGCAGCCGAACACCAGAAGAAGATGGGTGTCCGCTTTTCTGCCCATCCAGGCCCTATAAGGAGAGTTTGTTGTTCTCGAGGCTTCGGGAGGACAGCAAGTTGTGCAGCCGCACAGCGTGGTTCATCACAAACGGCCAGTACTTGGTTGGGATGGCCGACTGATTTATCAGGGCCCCCATCCCTGTGGCGAGGCTCCTGTTTGTCTGTTCTGCTACTCATTGCTGCTCGTGAGCATAGGGTTGGGACACCAGGTGTTCAATCCCTTTCTTCTTGAAGAGCTCGGTGAACTCGGTCGAGAAGAACTCCAGGGCTCCGTCAGTCTGGTAACTTTTTCAGCTTTAGTCCTGATCGTTGTTCGGCCCGCTTCATCCACGCGATGAAGCACTCGAAGGCGAGAGATCTGCAGTTAGTATTGACAGCCTAGACGTAAGGGGTGATTGCGTCGTTGAAGGTAAGGGTGTAGATTACGTCGTCGAGCCCTTCTTCGCTGAGGTTCATGAAGTCACTGTAGACTTAATCAAGCGGTTTGTAGCGTTCGTAGCCAGGGGGTAAGTTGGGAAAAGGTTTGTGGGCAAGTGACGCAGCGGGACACACGGTGCAGAGTGGATCTTCTTAGTCCACTGTAAGGGAGCCTTCGGGAGGGAGAAGCAAGGCTCCGTCGTCGAAAACACCATCCCGAAGAGAGTTTTTGAGCGTCACGTGTGAGGGGTGGCCGAGTCGTTGATGCCAGGTTTCCGCCTCCGCACGGTAGCCGACAGTCTTCCGATAATATGTGTTCCTCTCTGCTGCGTCGTTTTGCTCCCTTCCAGAACCTGTGTCAGCGGCATCGTCGATGTCGGCGGCGAAGGCTTGAATGGACTTCCGTTCCAGAAGCGCATGTCAGATCCCAATGATGTCGTCGGTGTCGCTGGCGTCAACCTGGTTGCCAGTGACAAGCATGCATTCATTGCGCTAGTCGCGAACTGGATGTCAAATTATAATGTTGTCTAGGCTTTAGTGGGGTAGCCCATATATGGTACACATTTCTAGGGTTGCATATTTGTATCACTTTCATTCCATACTCATTCTCATTCTCGTTCTAATTTCCTCATGGTATCGAGCAGGTTCCCCCGTGGGAACTGTGCCTAGGGCCCACCACATCGAGATTTTTTTTCCTGCCCGAAGCGCGCTCAGCCCGAGTCGCGCTCCGGGCTCTCACTTTCTCGAGCCGCCCTAGCGGCCCCAACGCCCTAGCGGCCCCGCAGCCCGTCGATTCGGCCCCGCCGCCCTTCGCTGCGGCCCCGCCGCACTTCGCTGCGGCTCCGCCGCCCTTCGCTGCGGCCCCGCAGCCCTTCACTGCGGCCCCGCCGCCCTTCACTGCGGCCCCGCCGCCCGTCTCAGCGGCCCCGCCGCCCTTTGCTGCGGCCCCGCCGCCTCTCTCGCTGCGGCCCCGCCGCCCTTCTCAGCGGCCCCGCCGCCCTTCGCTGCGGCCCCGCCGCCCGTCTCAGCGGCCCCGCCGCCCTTCGCTGCGGCCCCGCCGCCCTTTGCTGCGGCCCCGCCGCCTCACATTGCAGCCCCGCCGCCCTTCCCTGCGGCCCCGCCGCCTCACACTGAGGCCCCGCCGCCCTTCGCTGCAGCCCAGCTGCCCGTCTCAGCGGCCCCGCCGCCCTTCGCTGCGGCCCCGCCGCCTCTCTCACTGCGGCCCCGCCGCCCTTCTCAACGGCCCCGCCGCCCTTCACGGCGGCCCCGCCGCCCTTCACTCCGGCCCCGCCGCCCCTCCCACTGCGGCCCCGCCACCTACCTTGCGGCCCCGCCGCCCTACCAGCGGCCCTACCACCCTACACCGCCCGCGCCGCCCGAGCCGCCCGAGCCGCCCGCGCCGCCTGAGCCGCGCGAGCCGCCCGAGCCGCCTGAGCCGCTGAGGAATCGAGCCGCCCGAGCAGCCCGAGCCGCCCGACCTGCCCGAGCCGCCCGAGCCGCCTGAGCCGCTGAGGAGCCGAGCCGCCCGAGCCGCCCGACCAACCCGAGCCGCCCGAGCCGCGCGAGCCACCTGAGGAGCCGAGCCGCTGGTGCCGCGGAGCCGCAGTTGCTACTGAGCCGTCCGAGCACCCGTGTTGCCGTGTTGCTGTGCTACTGAGCTGCCCGAACCGCCCTGTCTGGTGAGAGCAGCGCTTCTGTCACTGCACTGCCCCTGTCCTACAGTTGGTACTGCTAGTCTACTATTGTCATGGCTACCCCTAGTGTCCTCGCGTTTGACGCTGAGGGTCGAGCCATTGACTTTGAGGTCTGGGTCGACGACTTGCAGCTATTCTTACAGTGCGATAGGGCAGACGGTCTCTCTCTCTTTGACCTCACCTCTGGCGCCTCTCCTGCCCCTGCTGCTGATGCTGACCCCACTGTTCGCTCCCAGTGGGCCATGCGCGATGCTGCTGCACGTCTTGCTGTGCGTCGCCACCTGCCTACCACTGAGCGCGCGCACTTTAGTCAGTACAAGAGTGCTCAGACCTTGTTCGACGCTGTAGTTGCGCGCTACTCTTCCCCTGCCACTGCTGCACTGAGCCGCCTCATGCTACCGTACCTCTTCCCTGACCTTGCTGCCTTTCCCACAGTCGCTGACCTCATTACGCACCTCCGCACTAGTGACACTCGCTACCGCGCCGCGCTTCCTGCAAAGTTCTGCGCCAAGAACCCCCCCCCCCCATGTACATCACTCTCTATTATATAGTCACTCGCCTCCCTGACTCCCTTCGTGTAGTCAGGGACCACTTCCTCTCAGTCTGTCCCACCACTCTCACTGTTGACCTCTTAGAGAAGGCCCTCCTAGCAGCGGAGAAGAGCATAGTCGCTGTAGGAGCCTCTCGTGGTGACCCTCGCACCCCCATCTTTGAGGGGTGTTCTCCTTCCCCCCTTTTGCCCTCTTTCGCCTCTGCCGCTGCGGCCGACCTCGTTGGTCTTCAGTCGGTCGGTGCGGCATCTGCCCCTAGCGGGAGACGCCGCTCTGGCAAAGGCAAGGGGGGCAAGGGCGCGGGTGGAGCTAGCGGGGGCGGTGGAGGTGGCGGTGGAGGCGGCGGAGGGAGTGGGGGTGGCGGTGGGAGTGGTGGCGGGGGTGGAGGTGTCGGTGGCAGCAGTGGAGGCGGAGGCGGCGGAGGCGGCGGCGGTGCTAGCGGAGGCGGCGGTGGTGGCGGAGGTGGAGGAGGCGGTGGTGGAGGAGGTGGCGGTGGTCGGGGTGGCGCTTCGGAGCGGAGCAGCCCTGGTGGTGGTCAGCGCCAGCAGCAGCAGCAGCAGCAGCAGCGTTCTCGGGACATTCCCCCCCCTCAGCAGCTCCGTGAGTGGTACGCGCAGCGTCAGCGTGGTGGGGGTTTTGGTCCGTGCACCTACGTCCTTCGCTCCAGCGACCGCGCGGGTGAGCAGTGTGGGGGTGCCCACCCCACCCAGCGCTGCTTTGGCTGCCTGACGGACGCTTGGCGTCAGCAGTTCCCGGAGGCCAGTGAGATCCCCTGCTGGGGAGAGCTTTCTAGGGCAGGCGTAGCTATCTATGATCTTGACTTTGATGCTATCCTTGCTGCCATGTATGCTGTGACTATTAGTGATGAGGGTGACTGTTACCGGTGTTTCCCGCCCGACTCGGGCATTGGTACTGCTGCTCTAGGTGCTGGTGAGGCTGCTGCTCTAGGTGCGAGTGCATCTGCGCCCTCAGGTGCTGGTGAGTCTGCGCTCTCAGGTACCACGTCGGCTTCGGCCTCCCTCACCTTCACACTTGACTTAGGGGCTTCTCGCTCCTTCTTTCGAGACCGCACCACACTCACGCCGCTTGGTCGGCCGGTTGCAGTCTCCCTGGCAGACCCCTCTAGGGGTCCTGTCCTCTCTCACTTCTCCACTGTCCTCCCGTGTCCGGCTGCCCCCTCTGGCACCTTGTCTGGTCTTTACCTCCCCTCGTTCTCTACAAACTTGGTGAATGGTGCTGACCTGCAGGATACGGGGGTTCACCAGTTTACTCTTGCGAGTCAGCGGGTGACCCACTGCTCGGACGCTCGCACAGGCCGGCACCAGGCCACGTTTACGCGTCGGCCGGGGTCGAGCCTCTACACCCTGACCACTGGGTCTCCTCCTGTCCCTGCGTCTAGCCAAGTAGCTGCGTCGGGTAAGGTGTTTGCTGTAGTGTCCAGGTCTGGTCCTGAGTCTGCCCCCTGCTCGTGTCGCCTCCTGTCTCACGAGACTCACCTGTGGCACCACCGTCTTGGTCACCCCTCCCTGCCTCGTCTCCGAGGCATGGCTTCCCGTGTCCTTGTCTCTGGTCTCCCCCGGTCCCTCCCTCCCCTTCCTCCAGGGCCTGGTCCTTCCTGTGTTCCCTGTGTCGAGGGGCGGCTCCGGGCTGCCCCTCACTCCTCTCAGTTTCCCCCGACAGAGGCCCCGCTGCAATCGCTTCACATGGACGTGTGGGGCCCGGCCCGCGTCCGTGGACAGGGTCATGAGCGCTACTTTCTGCTGGTGGTTGACGACTACTCGCGTTACACCTCGGTCTTCCCCTTGCGCAGCAAGGGTGATGTCACTGAGGTGTTGATCGACTGGATCCGCGCAGCTCGTCTCCAGCTCAGGAGGAGCTTCGGCTCGGACTTTCCTGTTCTGCGTCTGCACTCTGACCGAGGCGGAGAGTTCTCCTTTGGCCTTCTGCGAGCCTACTGCTGTGCGAGAGGCATCCGCCAGACCTTTACACTTCCGGACTCTCCACAGCAAAATGGGATTGCTGAGCGCCGCATTGGCATGGTCATGGACATCGCTCGTACGTCCATGATGCATGCGGCTGCCCCCCATTTTCTGTGGCCGTTTGCGGTTCGGTACGCGGCGCATCAGATCAACCTTCACCCCAGGGTCTCCATGCCGGAGACCTCCCCAGCTCTGCTGTGGACGGGGAAGGTAGGCGATGCGTCTGCGTTCCGTGTCTGGGGATCTCGGGCGTTTGTCCGCGACTTGTCTGCGGACAAACTGTCCCCTCGTGCTGCTCCTTGTGTCTTCCTTGGCTTCCCCCCTGACGCACCAGGGTGGCAGTTCTACCACCCCTCCTCTCGTCGTGTTCTGTCCTCCCAGGACGTCACGTTTGACGAGTCGGTCCCCTACTACCGTCTCTTCCCCTACCGCACTCCTTCCCTCCCCCCGTCGCCGCAATTCCTTGTGCCGGGCCCCCCCCAGGTAGACCCCCTCCCCCCTCAGGGTCCTGCCCCTTCAGGTGTGTCCCAGGTAGACGCAGTCGAGCTGGTCGAGGTTGCTGGTGACTTTGGTACTACTGCGGGTGCTGAGCCTGGGGGTGCTGACTCTGGGGGTGCAGCGCGAGTGGGTGCTGAGCCTGGGGGTACTGAGCCTGGGGGTGCTACGACTGAGGGTGCTGAGCCTGGGGGTCCTTCGCCTGGGGGTGCTGCGTCTGGAGCTGCTGAGTCTGGGGGTGCTGCGCCTGGAGCTGCTGAGCCTGGGGGTACTGAGTCTGGAGCTGCTGAGCCTGGGGGTGCAGAGCCCGCGGCCGCTGGACCTGCTCGTGTGGCGTCTGGCGGTGCTGGGCCTGGTGGTTCTCCGGGTGCTTCGTCTCGGCGGGAGCCACTCTCTCCACAGGAGCTGCGCGAGTGGTTTGCCTGGCGCTGGAGGCGTACTGCTGGAGCTGGTGCTTCTTCGACTGCTGAGGGTGCTGGTGTCGCCAGTCTCGGAGGTGCTAGCTCTGGGAGTGCTGGAGCTGCTGGGCTTGCGAGTGCGACTGGAGTCGGAGCTGCTGAGGGTGTTGGCGCTGAGGCTACTGCTGTCAGTCCTAGCGGCGGTCCTGCTGCGGGTGCTGCTGGTGCTGCTGGAGGTACAGGAGCTGGAGGTGCTGTTGGCGCTGGTGCTGCCACTGGGAGTGCTGGTGCTGTCCCAGCTGTGTCTAGAGTCGCCGCGCGGCCTTGGCCGTACTTTGTTCCGCTCCTTCAGTAGGTTCTTGGTCTTCCTCCTCCCTTAGAGTGTCCAGCGCCTATCCAGTCACAGTCACAGTTATCGCCGGCCTCCCCACTGCCTGCTCCTTCTCCCTACACTGGTCCTACTGGAGGTCTTGCTGAGCGTCGTGAGCCTGCGTCTCATCCTGCGTCGCCGGTTCGTGCTGCTCGCGCTAGTGGTCGCGGTTCACGTCAGCGTCCTCCTCATGTCCCTGGCACGCACCGGATGTCTCTGCGTCCGTCCACTGCTCCTCTGCGTGCCCCTTTGCCTTCTCCTCCTGAGTCCTCTCTTCCTGCCCTTGCCGACCCAGAGTCGGACTCTCTTCGTGCTGCCAGTCCTACTGTCACGCGTCTCCTTGCTACTGTCGTCACTGACCCCTCTTTTGAGTCCACTGCTGCGTCTGCTCTTGTTGCTGAGCTCGTCGACTTTGCTGCTCGCTGTCGTCTAGACTACGCTGCTGAGTGTGCGTCTGTCTGTCCTCCGTCCATCGAGGGTGAGTGTGCTCTTGGCATGGACGTCCTTGAGGACAGGCAGGAGGAGTTCCAGTGTCTGGCTGCTGCTTCACCTCATCTCGTGTCCGTACTGCTTACCCCTGAGGGAGACCCGGATGCACTTGACATCCCGACTCCGCGCTCTTACGTGGAGGCCGTAGAGGGTCCCTACTCCTCTCAGTGGCAGGCAGCTATGGATGCAGAGATGGCTTCCGCGTCCGTGGCCAGGGTCACGAGCGTTACTTCCTGTTGGTGGTTGACGACTACTCGCGTTACACCACGGTCTTCCCCTTGCGCAGCAAGGGTGACGTCACTGAGGTGTTGATCGACTGGATCCGCGCAGCTCGTCTCCAGCTCAGCGAGAGCTTTTGGCTCGGACTTTCCTGTTCTGCGTCTGCACTCTGACAGAGGCGGGGAGTTTTCCTCGGCCCGTCTGGGAGCCTTCTGTCGTGCACAGGGCATCCGCCAGACCTTCACGCTTCCGGCCTCTCCACAGCAAAATGGGATTGCTGAGCGCCGCATTGGCATGGTCATGGACGTCCCTCGTACGTCAATGATCCATGCGGCTGCCCCCCATTTTCTGTGGCCGTTTGCGGTCCAGTACGCAGCGCATCAGCTCAACCTTCAGCCCCGGGTCTCCTTGCCAGAGACCTCCCCCACCTTGCGGTGGACGGGGAAGGTTGGTGATGCGTCTGCGTTTTGGGTCTGGGGATCTCGGGCGTTTGTCCGCGACTTGTCTGCGGACAAGCTGTCCCCCCGTGCTGTTCCCTGCGTCTTCCTTGACTTCCCCCCTAACGCGCCCGGGTGGCAGTTTTACCACCCCACCTAGCGACGTGTTTTGTCCTCCCACGACGTCACCTTTGACGAGTCGGTGCCTTACTACTGTCTCTTCCCCTACCGCACTACGCCCCTCCCCCCGCCGCCACTCTTCCTTGCGCCAGGTCCTCCCCCGGTAGACCCCCTCCCCCCTCAGGGTCCTGCCCCGTCAAGTGTGTCCCAGGTAGACGCAGTCGAGCCTGTCGAGGTAGCTGTTGACTCTGGTGCTGCTAGAGGTGCTGAGCCTGCAGGTGTCGGGTCTGGAGGTGCTCAGCCTGGGGGTGCGGAGCCTGGGGGTGCTGAGTCTGGGGGTGCGGAGCCTGGGGGTGCTGAGTCTGGGGGTGCTGAGTCTGGGGGTGCTGAGCATGGGGGTGCTCAGCCTGGGGGTGCGGAGCCTGGGGGTGCTAGGTCTGCTCGTGTGGCCTCTTGCGGTGCTTCGTCGAGGCGGGAGCTACTCTCTCTGCAGGAGCTGCGCGAGTGGTTTGCCCGGCGCTGGAGCCGTGCTGCTGGAGCAGGAGGTGCTACTGTTGCTGCTGGTCATGGAGGTGCTCGTACTGACGGTAGTGGAGTTGCTGGAACTAGGGGTGCTGCTGAGGCTGCTGGAGTTGGTCCTGCTGGACGTACTGCTGGAGCTGCTGGCGATACTGGAGCTGACGGTCCTGCTGGAGTTGGTGTTGCTGGAGCTGCTGGAGCTGGAGCTGCTGGGGGTGTTGGTGCTGGTGATGTTGCTGGCGCTCGTGCTTCTGAGGGTGCTGGGGTTGGCGCTGTTGGAGCTGGAGGTGCTGCTGGCGCTGGTGCTGCCGCTAGGGGTACTGCTGCTGTCCCTGCGGGTTCTGGAGGCGCTGCGCGACCGCGGCCGTACTTCGTTCCGCTCCTTCAGCAGGTTCTTTTTCTTCCGCCTTCTACTGGTCCTGCTCCTCCCTTAGAGTGTCCACCGCCTGTCCAATCTCAGTCACAGTTACAGCCCGTCTCCCCCTTGCCTGCTCCTTCTCCCTACACTGGTCCTACTGGAGGTCTTGCTGAGCGTCGTGAGCCCGCGTTCTGCGTCGCCTGTTCGTGCTGCTCGCACTAGTGGTCGTGCTGCGCGTCCGCGTCCTCCTGCGGTCCCAGGCACAGACCAGATGGCACTGCGTCCTTCCACTGCTCCTCTGCGTGTCCCGTTGCCGTCTCCTCCAGAGTCCTCTCTTCCTACTCTTGTTGACCCGGAGTCGGACTCTCTTCTTGGTGCCAGTCCTACTGTCACGCGTCTCCTGGCTACTATTGTCACTGACCCTTCGTTTGAGTCCACTGCTGCGTCTGCCCTAGTTGTTGAGCTTGTCGACTTTGCTGCTCGCTGTCGTCTAGACTCCGCTGCTAATCTTGTTGCTGAGTCTGAGTCTGTCTGTCCTCCGTCTGTCGGGGGTGAGTGTGCTCTTAGCACGGACGTCCTTGAGGACAGGCAGGAGGAGTTCCAGTGTTTTGGTGCTGCTTTGCCTCATCTCGTGTCCACGCTGATTGCCCCTGAGGGAGACCCGGATGCACCAGACATCCCGACTCCTCGATCGTACGCTGAGGCGATCAAGGCTCCCTACTCCTCACAGTGGCAGTCAGCCATGGACGCAGAGATGGCTTCCTAGAAGTCCACAGGCACCTACGTTGACGAGGTTCCCCCACCTGGGGCGAACATCGTCAGTGGCATGTGGATTTTCAGGGTGAAGCGGCCGCCGGGTTCTCCGCTTGTCTTCAAGGCGCGTTACGTGGCTCGAGGCTTCAGTCAGCGGCAGGGAGCTGACTACTTTCAGACCTTCTCTCCCACCCCGAAGATGACCACTCTTTGGGTGCTGCTGCACATAGCCGCTTAGCGCGACTACGAGCTTCACTCTCTTGACTTCAGCACAGCTTTCCTGCAGGGCAGCCTCCACGAGGAGATCTGGCTGCGCCACCCACCTGGCTTCACTGGGTCGTTTCCTCCTAGTACCCAGTGGAGCCTCGGGCGGCCAGTCTACAGTCTTCGCCAGGCGCCCCGTGAGTGGCACGACACACTGAGGACTACACTTGCGGCTCTTGGGTTTGCTCCTTCTACTGCCGACACGTCGCTGCTTTTGCGCACAGACACCTCTTTGCCGCCGTTCTACATCCTCGTGTACGTCGACGACTTGGTCTTTGCCAGTGCTGACACTGCTGGACTAGCCCACGTGAAGTCCGAGCTGCAGAAGAGACACACGTGCACAGACCTGGTTGAATTGCGCAGCTACCTTGGCTTGCACATCACCCGGGACAGAGCACATCGCACCATTACCCTGACTCAGTCACACATGGTGCAGCAGGTCCTTCAGCGCTTCGACTTCACGTACTCCTCGCCTCAGGCCACTCATCTGTCTTCTCGCCACTCGCTCTCAGCTCTGCCTTCGGATGAGTCCGTAGAGCCGAGTGGCCCGTACCCAAAGCTTGTTGGCTGCCTCATGTACCTGATGACCTGCACACGACCTGACCTTGCATACCCTCTTAGCATCTTGGCACGCTATGTTGCTCCTGGGAGACACCGACCAGAGCACATGGCTGCAGCGAAGAGGGTGTTGCGCTACTTGTGCAGTACGTCGGGCATGGGGCTAGTGCTTGGAGGGCGACGTCCAGTGGTCCTCACAGGTCACGCAGACGCTTCTTGGGCTGACGACCAGGCTACGCAGCGGTCGTCACAGGTTTACACCTTCAGCCTTGGCTCCGGCTCTGTTTCGTGGCGGTCTACCCGCTCGTCTTCTGTTCTCGGCTCCAGCTGAGAGGCTGAGATCTACGCGGGAGCCATGGCTGCACAGGAGCTAAGCTAGCTCACCTACCTGCTGACTGACCTAGGAGCGCCGCCTCGTTCTCCTCCAGTTCTGTACATAGACAACAAGGCCATGCTGGCCTTGTGACGGGAGCACAGAACGAAGCACATTGCTCCGCTACTTCCTTGCTCGTGAGCTGCAGCAGCGTGGTCAGCTGCGCCTAGCTTACGTGGCCTCTGAGGCCAACACTGCTGATATCTTTACCAATGCATTTCAGCCTTGTGATCATCAGCACTTCTATACGATGCTAGGTCTTGTGCCTACTTGGCCTCACTTGCTCACTTCTTGACTTTGTTTGTACTGTGATCTTTCTATACCTGCACTTGCTTGTTTACCTTTATATATGATCTTGCATGTGAACTGGCCTTGTGGCCTTACTCTTGTGCTCGGACTGTGTGGTGACGTTGTGATCCACCCTGAGCTTGCTTTGCTTTGCTTGACTGGTCTTGTGACCTCTTGTTCTCCCCCACTTTGCCTATGGGGGTGTGTCAAACTCATATGCTATAGTCTGTGTAGGCTGTAGTGGGGTAGACAATATGGGGTACAACATTTCTAGGTTTTCCTACTTGTACCCACCTCTTTCCTAGTTCATTCATTCCTCATTCTTCACATCGACGGCTTTTCAATCGCCCTAACTCGGTGCCGCTTGAGAGTGTTTCGAACGGTGGCGCCAGTGACATTGATGCCGTGTGTAGAAGCTATCATTCCCGCTGCGGCCTCGGCGGATTTCGATTCACCAGAAACTATCGACCTTACGACTATCCTCGCGATTTGCTCTGGTAGCTTGCGCGGTTGACCATGTTTCACCGAGGACGGCATTAGCTCCTCGTATGTTTTTGGACCGAGGTGGCGGAGGAGCTCGTCATGGACGAAGGACTTCGAAACTCCC